AAACCAAATAAAACTAAACCAGCTCACCAAAAATCACCTAAAGCCCTCAACCAGCTCATCAAAAACACGTAATGCCCTCAAGCAGCTCACCAAAAAGAAGTAAAGCCGCTAAGCAGCTCATCAAAAAATACCTAAAACCCTCAACCAGCTCACCAAAAACAAGTAATGCCCTCAAGCAGCTCATCAAAAAATACCTAAAGCCCTCAATCAGCTCACCAAAAAACACCTAAAGCCCTCAACCAACTCACCAAAAAACACGTGAAGCCCTCAACCAGCTCACCAAAAAAATGTAAAGCCCTCAACCAGCTCACCAGAAAACACGTAAAGCCCTCAACCAGCTCACCAAAAAACATGTAAAGCCCCCAACCAGCTCACCAGAAAACACGTAAAGCCCTCAACCAGCTCACCAAAAAACATGTAAAGCCCTCAACCAGCTCACCAGAAAACACGTAAAGCCCTCAACCAGCTCACCAAAAAAACACGTAAAGCCCTCAATCAGCTCACCAAAAAACATGTAAAGCCCTCAACCAACTCACCAAAAAACACGTAAAGCCCTCAATCAGCTCACCAAAAAACATGTACAGCCCTCAACCAGCTCACCAGAAAACACGTAAAGCCCTCAACCAGCTCACCAAAAAACATGTAAAGCCTTCAACCTGCTCACCAAAAAACATGTACAGCCCTCAACCAACTCACCAAAAAACACGTAAAGCCCTCAATCAGCTCACCAAAAAACATGTAAAGCCCTCAACCAACTCACCAAAAAACACGTAAAGCCCTCAATCAGCTCACCAAAAAACATGTAAAGCCCTCAACCAGCTCACCAAAAAACGCCTAAAGCCCTCAACATTCGTGGTATTTGTGACAATTTATTCAGTGTGAAATTGTTCCTCTGCGAACAGACATGCTAGCTCTTTGTGAAACTGATCTGAAATCATCATTTTATTCCGCCGAATTCTTCGTTTCTGGCTATCTTTTCCTAGTTCGGGTGGATTCAGTATCTGTGTTCGTGAGCATCTCCCACAAGCAAGAGTCTTCGGGCTGTTCTTACATTATATCCGGTTTCCCCTACGAAACTCAGTCAGCTATCTTGCATTCAGTTATAGTTCATTTTCCTCTCATGACTGCTTTGTGTCAGAATTTTTTGATAGTTTAGGTAAGGCCCTCTCTCTACATCCGTCTACAAATAACTTTGTATTCGGCGACTTCAGCACCCACCACGTCAGATGGCTTAATCACTCTAACGCCACTGACATCGCTGATATCCAGACCTTGAACTTCAATCGTTTCCCCAGTAATTCTGATGTACACGCTTCTCTAATTCATCTGTTTCGTCCCTCTAACCGAGATACGCCTTGCTCTGTCGCTCTGTCGTGGCAACTTCGATCACGCCGTGGTGTCAGTAGATATCTCTTTCCATCCTCCCTTCAATCATGAATCTTCTATTAACAGAACAGATTTCTGTTATCAACGCACTGATTGGGAATCGTTTTGGGATTTTTTTCACGAAGCCTTTTGGAGTTATATTTTTAATCACCTTGTTCAGAAATGTACAAACTTAGTTTTTTTTTTATTTCTGGGTGAAAGCCGGTATCGAAACTTTCGTTCCAGCATGAAAATACCAAATGAAACACGGATCATTTCCTTGGTTCTAACCTGCCTGCTCATCCGCTAGAGCCCACAGGAATCACTTCTTCCAGCTATACCAAAGCAACAGGTCCGATTGTAATATATGCCTCTTTGTCATTGCTCGTAATGAGTGCAAGCGTGTCATCGAAAGTTATTATTGTTCTGATAGAATGAGACACTGTATAGCCTCTTACAAGTTTAATTCTGCTGAACAATTGTAAATCCTTCGTCTCTTCAATCAATTTGAAGTACAGTGAGTCCCCCGTATTCGCGGCCGTTAGGGACCAGAATCGTCCGTGAATAGTTAGAATCCGCGAATACTTTTAACACCCACCAAAGGGCTTATAAGTATATATTTTGATTGTTAAAACCCCATATGCCCTACACTTTTATCCTAAACACTTTAGAAACATTTCAGGATCTTTTAAAAACATTTTTTTAAAATAGTATTGGTGACCATACACTTAGCGTACATTTTCTTTCATACGTACAATAACCGTTTTTAATTACGCACAGATCGGCTAACCATGGAAAATACTGTATAACATATGTATAACAAGACATAAAATATAAAGTTTAAAACATTTTCTAAGAGCAGAACTGTGATGATGACCTCCAGACTTAGCATAAGCCACTTTTAAGACCTTAGCCGCAGCCCCTAACAAAGAACAAAACCCAAATTCTACACCTGTTTTTGTTTGTTTTTTTACAATGAAGATGTACAATTCTGCCAATTTTTACCGTAAGAATAGACTGTTATATGTTTTAAGTCACTTAAATAACAGGAATACAGTAAAAGAATATTTTAAATATGTTCTATCGAAAAAATACGCGAACCCAGAGGGTTCTCAGCGGATAATTTGTACAGATGTTCTTCAGAAAAACACGCGAATATTCGGGGTTTCCAAGAATAACAAGTACATATGATCCAAAGAAAAATTCGCGAATATGTGAAGCCACGAATGTTGAAACGCGAATAGACGGAGGCTCACTATAGAGTTTAATTCTTCTTCTCTGATTGAATCTAATTAAACTTACTCAAAATCATCTCAGGATCAAGAATAATCACAAGTATATTCTTTCGATCAGTTGGAAAAGAATTATTGCATGATTTTCAGAACAAAGTAAACATTTTCTTTCGGCAAAGGTACTAATAATTTTTACTCGAATGCCAAGAATTCAATAGAACTTGACTCCGTCTGTTATCTTCTGCCTTTTCAAGAGCCAGAACAGACCGAAAATAGAATACTTCTGCTTTATACATGTGCAGGGATACCCTCTTTAAACTTTCCAATCTTGATAAGTTTAAAAAATATGTCCGATTAATTGCCTTCCACTCTACAACACCTTTTTCCACAGATAGAACTTTGTAAGCCTCTTACTGCTCTATCATTATTTCCAGAGAAAGTGTTCAGACGAACGACATCCTTACACCAGTTTTAACTTTCGTTGCTAAGATCCGTCACGTAACCAGTCACCCTCATCCATTGGTCTTCACCTGGCGAGATATAAGTTCTACTCGAGCAACCTCTTATGAACTATGATGAGGCCCGGGATAAGTAACAGTCTAACCCGGACGAGGCTCCGCCGAAGGGCAGAGTCTCGTTCGGGGTGGTTGACTGCCCCTGAACCCGTTTATGCGGGTTCAAAGAGGGGATATTTTTGGCCGAGCCTACGGGCTCGGAAATCCCACGTTAAACCCGGCCTTGTGCCATATGTAACCCTCGTGGGGGGGTAGCTAAATATCACTATGATGATACCCCTAGACTTTGCATAAGCCATTTTTAAGACCCCAGCCGCAGCCCCTAACAAAAAAAAAAGAAAAAAAAGCCCAAGCTCTACACATGCTTTTGCGTTGGATCTAGGTAAATTGCTCGAAATCAATTGCTCGACATTATATTGCTCGACAGTAAATTGCACGAAATCAAATAATTTCTCGAACGATCAATTGCTCGAAAGGCAGATTGCTCCAAGTAATTTTATACTAATAGATTAAATATTAGCAACAATAGTTATATATTTTTGGTATTTTTTTAAATGACGAAGAATAACAATAATAATAAAAATGTACCCTTTATTTTAAACTATAACAAAAAAGCAATATAGAAAAAAAAGACCTACTATATAAATGTACTCGTTTATTTAATTTTAACTGTTCAGTTAACAAATAAAGTTGTATTATTTTATCTTATAGTAAATATTAGAAACAATGTAGTTTTATTTTTTTTTAACCTCAGGTTTCGAGCAAACTGCCTTTTGAGCAACTGATAATTCGAGAAACTATTTTTCGAGCAATTGATTTCGAGCAATTTACTGTCGAGCAACTGATTTCAAGCAATTTACTGTCGAGCAACTGATTTCGAGCAATTTACTGTCGAGTAACTGATTTCGAGCAATTTACTGTCGAGCAACTGATTTCGAGCAATTTACTGTCGAGCAACTGATTTCGAGCAATTTACTGTCGAGCAACTGATTTCGAGCAATTTACCGGATACCCTTTTGCGTTTGTTTTTTACAATGAAGATGTACAATTCTGCCAATTTTTAACATACAAATGGATTGTTATATGTTTTAAGTCAGTTAAATATCAGGAAAATAATACAAGTTCTGTCGAAAAATTACACGAATCGAGGGAGTTCTCAGCAATTAATTTGTACATATGTTCTTCATGTTACCGCGAAGAAGTACATATGTTCTAAAGAAAAATCTGCGAATGCGTGAAGAATAAAAGATCCCAAGCAGACCTGTTATTTAACTCATATACTGGGGGTGAGTGATCGATTAATATCTTTTCTAAAAGTATTCATGCAGAAGTGAAGGTAACAACCTCGGCCAAAGTTCGAACTTGGTTTGCGAAATTCTCTTGCAGAGTTGCTAACCTTTGCATCCGTGTAGTAACTTGCTTTTACGTTAAATATATGAAAGCCTGGAAGAGTAACTTTATATGTATGCTTTTACATGGATTTTATATGTTCTTACATGTATTTCTAATTTAAAACTCTGGTTACGTACAAATGGATCACTTAATCAAAAGATGACATCCAGGATTTTCGATATTTTTTTCTCGTTGCTGAGCGGTATTTACCAATTGCCGATCGAGGAGACATAATGTGCTCTTTCTCTTGTGATATGCATTGGTCGCCATCTTTAATTAAAATTACCCCTTGTGGTTAAGCTAAAGATAATGAGATACAGCAAATGAGAGAAAAGATATTAAGAAAGAAGAAACCCCGAGGACACTGGGAATGAAAAAGGAGGGAAGAGATTTTTTTTTTAAAAAAGGGTCGAAATATGAAGCAGAAAACTAAAGGGTGGCAACTCATATTTTTTTTTTTTGCTTTCTTTTCTTTCTTTGAATGAAGTAAGGCCGCTTATCTTAATGACAAGAAAGAAAGAAAGAAAGAAAGAAAGAAAGAAAGAAAGGAAGGAAGGAATAAAAAGAAAGAAAGGAAGGAAGGAAGGAAGGAAGGGAGGAAGGAAGGAAGGAAGGAAGGAAGGAAGAAAAAAGAAAGAAAGAAAGAAAAAAGAAAGATAAAAAGAAAGAAAGAAAGAAAGAAATGAAGGAAGAAAAAAGAAAGAAAGAAAGGAAGAAAAAAGAAAGAAAGAAAGAAATAAAGAATGAAAGAAAGGAAGGAAGGAAGGAAAAAGAAAGAAAGAAATGCAGGAAGGAAGAAAGAAAGAAAGAAAGAAAGAAAGAAAGAAAGGGATAAAAAGAAAGGAAGGAAGGAAGGAAGGAAGGAAGGAAGGAAGGGAGGAAGGAAGGAAGGAAGGGAGGAAGGAAGGAAGGAAGGAAGAAAAAAGAAAGAAAGAAAAAAAAGAAAGATAAAAAGAAAGAAAGAAAGAAAGAAAGAAAGAAATGAAGGACGAAAAAAGAAAGAAATAAAGGAAGAAAGAAAGAAAGGAAGGAAGGAAGGAAAGAAGGAAGGAAGGAAGGAAAAAGAAAGAAAGAAAGAAAGGAAGGAAGGAAGGAAGGAAGGAAGGAAGGAAGAAAAAAGAAAGAAAGAAAAAAGAAAGAAAGGAAGAAAAAAGAAAGAAATAAAGAATTGGAAGAAAGGAAGGAAGGAAGAAAAAAGAAAGAAAGGAAGGAAAGAAGGAAGGAATGAAGGCAGAAAGAAAGAAAGAAAGAAAGAAAGAAAGAAAGATCGGCTAAGGAAAAAAGAAACACTGGAGTATATAAAAGGAAGAAATATACTTTTTAATGGAGAAAAATAAGCGAAAAAAAGAAAGAAAGTAAAAAAGAATAATAATAGGCTAACGAAAAGAAAGAAACCAAGAAAGAAAGATATTTGATCAAAGAAAGAAGAAATGAGAGAAAGAAAGTTATAATGTAAAACCGATGAATTAAGAAAAAGCCAACAAGAACGAAAGAAGAATGTAGAAGTTGATTAAAGAAAGGAAGAAAAAATAAGTGAAAGAAATGAATGAAGTAAAAAAGACGAATCGGATGACAAGAAAAGAGTTGTCAGTTCAATACCTAGCTACTGCAGTGGTGAACTTGGAGAGTTCACTGAAAGGGAAATATCCGGAAGAGGCACGGCACGTGGAACTAGAACAATCGCCCCGGGGGACGAAATAAAGCGTCCATTTGGAAATTCCAACCACCTGGGGAAGATCGGAGCGTACAACGGCCGAAACGTCGTGAATATGGCAATAAAGATGAGGACAGCAGGCCGAAAAAATGTAAATGATGTAAATAATTATAATGCCCGATCTCAGAAATATAGACTGAGCCTGAAGAAGACCGAAGCGTACAACAGCTGAAACGTCGTGACTATGGCAATAAAGAGGACAGCAGTCCGAACGATGTAAATTGTGTAAATAGATACAATACCTCATCTCAGAAATATGGACAGATATTGAAGAAGAAAAGAAAAGAATAGAAATTTAGTAAACAAAGAAAAAAATGTCATCAAAGGAAGAAGGAAAGATATTAAAGAAACAAATAAAAATAGTTTAATCAAAGTAAGGAAGATCTAAAGAACCAAAGAGAAAGAAAGAAAGAAAGAAAGAAAGAGAAACAAGTAAATAAAAATAGATTAAACCAAGTAAAGAAGAGGCAAAAAAACTGACAGAAAGAAAGAAAGCGAGAAAGAAAGAGATTAAAGAAGGAAATATATTAAAGAAATAAAGAATAGAAATGACAGTAGGCTAAACAAAGAAAGGAAGAAGCAAAGAATCAAAGAGAAAGATAAAAAGAAAGAAAGGAAGAAATTGATTAAAGAAGCAAATACCTTAAAGAAAGAAAGAGACAAATGAAAATAGACTAAGAAAAGAAAGGAAGAAACAAAGAACTACACAGAAAGAAAGAGAAGAAATCAAAGAAAAAAAGAAAGAGATTAAAGAAGGAAATACGTTAAGAAACAAATAGATTAAACTAAGTAAGAAAGAAACAAAGAACTAACAAAAAAGAAAGAAAGAAAGAAAGGAATAGATTAAAAAAGGAAATAACTTAAATAACGATTTGAGAATCGGTCAAAGAGAAACAAATTTAATCAAGAGAAATTAAAGAAAGAAAGAAAGAAATTGGTTTAACAGCGAAAAAAGAAAATAGAAATAAAGAAAAAAACAAAAAGAAACAATAAAATAAAGAAAATAGATTAACAAAGAAAGGAAGAAAGAATATGCGTAAAAAGACGAAGAATGGGATAACAAGAATAAACGAAAAAAAGAAATTTAGAAAAATATAGAAAGAATTAATACGTTGAAGAGAGAGAGAAAGAAAGTAAGAAAGAAATAGACTAAACAATAGTTGGAAGAATAAAGAAAGAAAGAAAAATTAAAGTTTTGATGAACGAAAAGAAAGTAGGAATATAAGAGAGACATCAAAATCATAAAAAAGATAAAAGGTCAATGAAAAGAAAGAAAAATCGTGAAAGTTTTCTGAGTGTCGATTTCTCTTAAACGCTACCCTTGTGGCATCTGCCAATCAGAACTTGGCCGGAAGATCTTTTGGTTTCTACACATTCAAAGCAAGGAAGTACGCGCCAGTCTTCCATCAGACTGACTTCACTTTTACAAGAACAAGACAGAAACAACAAGTTTTAAAAACAATCTCGAGACAATGTCGGACTGCTGTAACTGAAGGGTGGGGCGTTTGAAATAAGGCAGGGAATGTCGGGATTGAGAACTTCCGCACAGAACGCCATGGAATTTCTTTAATTAATATCCGTTCGTAAAAACCACCTGCTGTTTTATCTCTTGGGGCAGACGGGAATGTAAGTTCTGATAGATCGAAGAACAGGTTTAATTGGAGGGGCGGTAGTCGTCTCAGGTACCGGTGATAATGGTAGTGGTGGTGATGCACGTGGTTATAGTGATAACAGCGTTCAAGACTGACCATAGGTCGATAATTTACATGAAAAAATGCGAAAGCTTTAGGATAAAAAAAAGCTTCTGAGAATTGGCTGGCTTATGGTTAATCGCCTGTTACATTTTGCAAGAGGCGTGAGTTGTCTTGCAGGCTAATAGTGCAGAAAACAGACTTGGTGATCCGGGTTCATATTCCGTCTGTAGTAGATATTCTTCGAGTTTCGATTCAGTTCTCCCAATAAAGGAAGTCAGGGATCGACACCAAAAAGGTAACCCGTTCTGCATCGGAAAAATGCTATATAGGAAACACCATATCTGCTCCCTTTCGTATCCGAAAAGTAAACAAAACAATTCCTAAAAAAATAATGGATTTATTTTTAATTCAACATTTGTATTAATCAATATGTTATAGTGAACATTTTCATATTTGAAATTCACGTCCCATTACTATTTATTAAACAGACTCTTACGCCTATTGACCTACGCATCCGATATATATATATATATATATATATATATATATATATGTATTTATTTGTAACAAATAAATGAAAAATTGAGGAAAATTTGAAATATCAAATATATATATATAAATAAATAAATACTTTCATAAAATAAAACATTATAACTTTCAATTTGAAACTTTTTCTCTCTCTCTCTCTATATATATATATGTTTTTCATAAATGGTGTCTTCGTTCAATATGCGGTTATACACTGTAGAACAAAAACTCTCGGCCTAATATTTTCATAACTGTTGTGCTTGTGGTATCGATTCATTGTCATGGATCTCTAAAGTCTCCGCTTTCTTAATGACACATACACACAGACAAACATATATATATATATATATATATATATATATATATATATATATATATATATATATATATATATATCACACACACACACACACACACACACACACACACATATATATATATATATATATATATATATATATATATATATATATATATATATATATATATGCCTGTTCATATACAAGCTGTATCACAGCTCATCGGTGCGGCTAGAGATCTGATTGCTTCAAGCCGGGATCGAAATTCGACCGATTTGTCATGTCAGAGACTCTAGCCCTATGCTATTGTCGCACAGCAGAGTAATCTTTTAATGTATTATATACGTGATGTCTATAGACGGCAGCCACATCGCTCAATTCATATCTGAAGAGTGATGTGATATAAGCAGGTGCATCCACTGTTTTAAAATTCCCTTTCCCGATAGTGCTCAATCGACGAATGAGAGCAAGTCATCCACATACAATCTGCTATGTCACAAACTTTTTATATATATATATATATATATATATATATATATATATATATATATATATATATATATATATATATACAGTGGTGAAGGCTTTGTTCAAAACCAACTACACATTTTGAAGGGCCGAATACAGAGACCTGGTGCACTACGTGCCACAAGGTCCCCAACCGACCCTCCACAGGTTTTGAATTCAGAGTTGTCCTTCCCCTAGACCAGTTGCCATCCAAGGCTATAGAACACGGTCTGTCCTGCTATTTACCCATAGCTGGAGGGAGAAGAAGAGAATACGTAAGTGAATGTAATAGATTCGACAGGAATTCGAACTCAGTTCTCCGATTCCTCAATCCGAGCCGCTATCCACTACTCCATATATATATATACATGTGTTTGTGAACCATTTTATATTTACATACGGTCTATTCCTGATATTGAACACATTTACTCATAAATATAGCATGACATTTTCGCTGTATCACAGCTCTTCATTGTGGCTAGACGACCGATTTAACCCCGACCGATTTGGTATCAGTCAGAGATTCTACCCCTAGGCTATCGTTTCACGGCAGAGAGAAAGGGAAATTTTAACGTTTTCTTTGCGAAATACGTCAGTGGCCTGGAGAGCTCAATTCAATTCTGTTGAAGAGCAATGCGTTAATAGCGGTATGAGCCACTGTTTTTAAAATCACCTTTTTCTCAAGAGAGCTCAAATATATACATATATATTTGAACTACTAAGAATGGCGTCTAGATTAATAACACTGTGTGTCATAAAGGTAACTCAAGCTTTAATAATGAAGTTAATGGATAAGATATTAGCGGAGTGAAGGATTTTTTCAGTAATTGATTCTAAATGAGTCCTTTGTTCGTTTGCCACCATCATTTTTCCAGTTAATCTAAGAAGAGAAAGAAAGTGTCTGAGAAAACTAGAAGTTATCTCCCCTCCTTATATGTTTTCTCAAGCAGATCACTACTTCTCAATTTTTGGTCAAATAATTTTCATTCAATCAAACATCATTTCCTGCTTCGTCTGCAAAAGATAATATTTGCAGCCAGCTCGCTCATGTAAATTCATTTCATAACGCGACCTTTTAATATCATTATTTGAACCAAGGAAGTTTGTTACGCCTAGCAACTGAATAATCCTTTCGCTATTAATTTTGATATATTTTGTTTTTATTTTGTTTAGGACGTTAAAATCGATGAGCTGACTGCGTGACTCGGAAAGAGTCTGTGTTGAAAATTGTAGCTTGTAGCCCATTTCCCTGAAACTCGTTTGAAGCAGACGTCTACTGCAAAATGCGTGGGAAGGCAAAATGATAATTGTAGTTAATGTAATTCTAGATCCAATAGAACTGTACACTATTTACATTATTTGGACTATTGTTCTCATCTTTGTTGCCATATTTATCACAACGTTTCGACCGTTGTACGCTCCGGCTTTCTTCAGGTGGTTGGAATGCTGAACTTAACCTGGGCTAGACTGCTTTGGATCCACTTGTCTAATGGATGTCAATTATTTCCTGTTAATTCACCTCTCCAAGTTCTCCACTGCATTAACCAGGTATTGAACTCACAACTCTTTGGGTCCTGTCACTGGATCCAACCAATGCTTTTATCCACTGCGCCATGTGTCCTTGAGGACATCTCTGTATGAATTTCTAGGACTTATAAATTAATGTCTTCAGCTACATTTTTACTAGTGTTCATTTTGCAATTTTTGCTGTTATCATTGTCATGTTTCTTTTTACCAGACTTCATATTGTAACAGTCTACACCAGCGAAGAAAAAAAAAAGGGTTCATTTCGACAATACAAACATCTGAATAACGCCGGAGCGTCTAACGGCCGATACGTTGTGATAAATATAGCAACAAAAATGAGGACAATAGTCCGAATAATATAAATAGTGCATATAATACCTCATCTCAGAAATATAGTCAGGTACCTATAGAACTTGTCTGAAATTCTTTGGTCCGAAACGGACCGAACTGAGTAGGGGGGTGTTGAATCCCTTAGTCATGGAACTGTGATATATTGTTTTTTTTTTTCTAAATATTGGCATAAAAGTAAAAAATACGCGCGGAAACGGGAAGTACGGTCACGGCAGTCGACAAGTCAAGAGCTTTAATGCGCGGACTGTAGATTTTCTGCTATTTTACTTTACGTGCACGTTGTTTCATCAGGGAGACATGTCACACATGTAGGGAACAATTTTTGTCGAAATTTTGACATCCGTTCTCTTTCTCTACTCCATCACTTTCTCTCACTGTCTCTTTTGCTTTTTCCCTTCCTTCTAGAAACGAGGCTTCTAAGTCCGCCCCTTAAAATGTAAAGAAAATTATCAGTTATTTATTCTGTGTGGATACTCCATTGGGCTCCCTACTGAGGGATTCCACATAGTCTCCCACAATGCAAAGACGACACACAGTGCAACACATCCTTTACACCATTTTTTTAAAAATTTTATCCGGCGAAACAGAGTCAATCCTTCAAGGTATTCTTTTCATTTTCATACTTCATAAAATTGTTTGAGGACTTAAATATCAAGATCTACTTATTAATTTTCGTCTTTTATTTTTCGTTTTTGTTTTATATTAATTATCTGGCGAGGGACATTCTGAAAGTATTAGAAACATCAATACATCAAATGCCACAGTTTATCGATGTCTTTCTAAACATCTTTAAAATAAGGTTTCGACCGTTGTATCTCTTAATGGAGCTCTTTACTTCGTGTGGCTTCTAGAGCTTGTCCAGGGCGAACATCACTGTAAAAAAAAAATATGTAATAATAGACATCATTTAGGAGCCTGCTTTATCTTTGGAATAAAATCCTATGAAAAAACGAAAATATTTTCGGTATAAAATACATTCCTTATTTTAAAGGTTTTTCTATGTTTCTGAGATGAGGCATCTAGAGGTACTATTTATACTATTCGGACTATTGTCCTCACCTTTGTTGTCATGTCACAACATTTCGGCCGTTGTACGCTCCGGCCTTCTTCAGGTGGTTGGAATGTCGAACTAAAACCTTTATTTCGCTCACTGTTGTAGACTGATCTAGTTAGATGTGTCATGTTTAATGAATGTCAGTTATCAATTGTTTCCTGTTAATTCCCCTCTCCAAGTTCTCCCTAAGGAGGTATTGAACTCACAACTCTTTGGGTCCTGTCACTGGATCTAATCAACACCCTTATCCACTGTAACATGTGTCCTTAGGGACACATGACATGTGAAACAGAACAGTCTACCCCAGTGCGCGAAATAAATGGTTCAGTTCGTTATTTCAACAACCCGAAGAAGGACGGAGCTTACAACGGCCGAAACGTTGTGATAAATATGACGAGGACACTAGTCAGAATAATGTAAATAGGAGGAAGGAAGTTCCACTGGCGGGAGGTGCGAGAGAAACTGTTGGAGTTGAAGAGGCGGTTACATTTAACTGTTTTGACAGTGAAAGGGTGGGACAAAGATGCTAACTTCGTAACACGCTTAAATTTATACAGTTTGGGAAGCAGAGAAAATAGCTCGTTAGATCAGTTGCCATGAAAATACTTGTAGAAAAGACATAGGGAAGCCACAGCAGGTCTGTTAGAGATTGCCATTTTCAACGTGACTGTCTCCTTGGTATAATGAAATGCGGATACAATTCTTCCTGATTTGATGTGGCCTCCTAGAGTACACTCAGAGAGATTGAGAAAAGCTGTAACTGCTGGCAAAATCTCTTAAATTAAAAAGCA